AAGTAATACGTCGGTTGAACCGAAAGATCGGGATTCCGGGAGAGAGAAGCACGGGGACCGGTATGCATTGTGTGTAACGCGCATACGCGTGCGCGATCTCTCTCATACACAAACACACGCTCTTCGGGAGCTCCTGCTCCTGACGGATGCTGCTCGCAACGGAGCGTGCACTATGCGCCCTTATGGCTGATGAGACGCAATCGCCAATTCTATCGAGACGCATCGCGATTTTCCAACTATTATTTTCGACGTCATTGAAACCACTGAGAGACATGAGAGCTCTTCGAATACACACGCTTCTTTCTTGCTCAGGCGAATTAACATTCTCTATCAATGGAAAATTTTGCACGAATCGAGATAGAGTTGCTTTCTAAAAATGGGACGAAATAGTTTTGTCATTGCATAAATTATTTAATACTATTACTATTAAACGCACCGGTCGTCTATGTTTTTTATTATTATTTACTGTTGTATTTGCAACACATAAGTAAACAGTATCGAAAATAATGTAAGAATGATTTTATTCGAAGCGATTGTGCAATTAGAGAAATAATTAACGGTGAAAATTCGAAAGCTTGTAGGGAAATTATCATTCATTTGTTGTGAAAAAATTTTCTTGTGTTATGATGTATCGTCGAAACAGGGATAACGTCCTGTAAAGAGAGGGCCGACTCTGGAGAGAGCGATGTGACATATCACGCGCGCGTGTATTCGCTCGAATTTCTACGGTCTTTGCAACACTTTGCTCTCGAACTATTTTGAAGACACCTATAAATACGTGCATGCCGCGCGCAATATACGACAAGTGCTCCCGCAGACGGCAAACATGCCGTATCTGGTCTGCCGCTTGAATAAAATCGGTCGCATCGGTCGAGAAATTATTAACATCGCGGCTCATTGTGCACACGCATACGCGTACATTCGCATCAAGGCTGTTCGTGAGGAATATATTTTCGTTATAATGCGTCACGTTAAATTAAACGTTTAATTGCACGAATAATGTGCGCGGGTGGACACCGTCGTGACAAATTTTTAAAACAATTTCTACTTGACTGGAAAAAAACTCACCGTCCTCTCGAATTTATCGCGCAAAAGTATTTTTATTTCTCTCCCGCAAAATAAAGCCTATTGATGAATTTATTTGCGATTGATTAAAAGGTATAAATTTAATGCTTGTTGATGCTTTTCCAATTAGTTCTTTTTTGATGAAGAAACTTTTTCCATTATTCTTAAATGGATAAATAAGTAGGAAGTATATATAAATTGTTCCGAGAACCGCGTTTTCTAAGAGGATTGAAACAAAGCCACAAAAACGATAATTATTACGGTACATGTCGCAGGCGTTGCTCTTTACAGTTCAATAAATCATTGTAACGGTAATTAATGGAACAGAAAGAAACATTAGATACAACAAGTTTATCAAATAATGGTTGATATTAAAATAGAAAAATTTACATTTATATTATGTAAACATTGAGGTATAAATGTATAAAATTACGAAAGTAACTTTTCAAGAAAGTTAAAGAAAAATAAACTTGCTTATTTTATTTGATAACTTTTTCTTATAATATTTTCGAACGCTATCAACTGTTTTATTTCTGCAGAAACGCTATATACTGTAAAGTTGAATGTCCTTAATTATTTTTATCCGTTGATTTATAATAAAATAATTCTATTATCTAAATTCGTATTCTGACATTTACCGTGCGTTACATACAGTCGTGTTTTAAATAAGATCTAAGGTTACCAATGCGACACTCGACACCCTGTAACACATGTAACACTTGAAAGGTGTCGGCGGGTTCTTAGTCAGAATCAGTATTACGAGGTGGTGAGCACCTAAAGCGGAGTAGGTCTTCATGCTGCGGAGAACAGGCGGGACGGAGGAGGAGAGCCAGCTATTCGAGCAAGTTAAACTCGATACACAGGTGGATCATCGAAGCCGACATTCGAGGCTCCTTCAATCGAGCGATGAGGCAAGCTATACACATAATCCTCATGAATTGAGAGAAAATTTTTTGCATAGCTACTTGTGTAAATACGTTCAGCTTGTGATAAACAATACCAACACAAAGCGTTTATAATAAGATTTTCTTCACATTATCGATAAATAAAATTGAAAAATATATTCGATAAACTTTATAAATGCAAAAATAATCAGATCGATTAAAAATAAGATAATTGTTTAGTATTATAATTATTTTCAGATTTAAAAAATTAACATTTTTGCATATAATATATACAAAACTTTCGCAATTTATTTTTTTGGTGAACATTTTTAATTTGCATTATTTCATCAATTTGATGCTTTTTTAATGATTGCTTCGAAACTCGATCGATTAATCAATTTTGCTGAAGCTCGGGAAGCACGTGCGAGATGTTCCAGACGGTGTTAAATTTAGAAATTTTGCACGACAGCATTAGCTACGGCGATCTTTGTTCCTCGTGTGTGTGTTTTGCGGTTAGAAGTCTCGCGTTTCACTGTTTTTTGACCCGCGGTAGTCTTTGATTTTCGACATGTATGACTGAAAAGTTCGCACTCGTTTTAGATTTATTGCGATAGAGAGTCTTGCACAAAAAGAAACAAGCTTAACAAATAATATTTTATTTAATAAGATCATTATTTTATCAGCTTTATCGTTATATTTACAAAAAAAGAACTTAAGAAAAATTGATACCATGACTTCGCATTTATTATGATCGCATGATTAATTAATTTTAATGCCGCTTATTACAGCAATGCATGAGATGTTAATATTAATGAACCGAGAGGCAATATCACGTATCATCTTCATGAGAAAAAATTTGTCAAATTCGTTGTTGGAGGATACTAATTTGATATTTTAAACTACTTAATAACGTTTGTAAGAATTGCATGTTTGGCGTAATGCCCGACATTTTTGCTCGTAAACATATTTTTTATTTGACGCTGAATCGAGTAGCGGCCCTGCATAGGGATGTGCATTCAATGGAAATTTATGCGAGAGCCCCGCCTTCTTTCTCTCAGAGAAGCCGAGAGAACTCGGTCGACGTGTATAGGCGCCAACCTCGCAGGCCCTATCCGGGCCCTTTACGAGCGTCCAATTGCCTCCCTTTCGTCCAACTCGACAACGAATATACAAAAATCGTAGGTTGCCGGGCATATAGGAACCGCCAGCATCACAGCATGTGATCTTGGAAACTCTTGAAGCGGAGCTAAAATTAGTCAACCTTAGAAGACAAGGTCTCGATTCGTTATCAAAATCTGAATAGCTCAATAAATGGCTTGGAGGATTCTTAATTAGAAAAGTAAGACAAGAATAAAAAAAATTTTAATAATGGGGGTATAAAATAGAATAAAATAGCATAATTATTGTGCGCGGCAGAAAAACATATTGCGAACTTAAGGCGATATGTTAGAGTTAACATTAATCGATAGTGTTTGAGGAAATGATGTTTCATTAACTCGGTGTGACGGATATCGATTGCCTCCTGACCCTTGGTCCTACGAGAGAAATAAAAGAAGATCCTCTCTCCTCTCCTTCTCTCTCTCTCTCTCTCTCTCTATCTTTTCGGCGTCGATAAGCAACGCCGTTTTTGGAAGCGAGCCGTTTGTATACGAAGCGGTCATCGTTGCTGCACGCCTCCTCCTCGCCGCGGCGCGGTACGGTGCGGCATCCCGCGGGTCCGGGCGGGCCCGCAAAAATGACTGCCAAAAAAGGCCCAACTTCATGAAGTCGGACCGTCACTCATCGCGGCGAATTGGCTTCCACAACGCAACAATATAACGCGATGTGTGCATAACGATGCCCCGGCTCGCACACACACACACACACACGTTCACGTACGAGCGGTCGCGCGCGAGCGTGAGCGGAGATCGAATGAGGCGAGCACGTGGTGCACGTCACACGTATGAGTGCATAACGTCGCGTGTATGTATACGGCGACCCGTCGTCAACACCACCCCGCGATCGGGGCCCGCACGGGAGTAAAGGTTTTACCGATGGCGTACGCCCATACGCACGTAGCATGTAGGCAGAGGTTCCCACACCGCAGGCCATGATTTATTGGCCTGCCACTCGCCAGACCTGCTGTCATCATCGTCCCATGGTTGGTCCATGATACAGCGCGCCGTGCCGTATATAACTTCCCTCTATGCACGGATCTTCGCGTCATATCGGCTCCTTCTTTCCTCGCGCCCCGTTGATACAGGAAGGCCGTTTGCCGCACCGCGCCGCGCCGCGCCCCTCTAGTCCGTCCACCTTGTTTTACCTTAACCAGCCGATACCCACCGCCGTACGAAGCCGACAATCACCTTCTTTCTCATCGAGAAGATGTTGTGGGTGGGAGGTGCGAATTTCGCAAACTCGATAGCGTTATTATCGCGTGTCTTCCAATTTTATGACAAATTTCACCCTTCGCGGATCATGGATATATCTGTGATATTTTGAAAAAAACAAACGTAGAAAGAAGTGAAATAATTTAAAAGATTGATGGATGCATTTATTAAAGAATTGAGACCGTTGCGTTCTAAAGAAATAAATATAGTTTCGTTTCGTTACTTGAAAAGAGAACAACATGAAACAGCATGAAAAATATTTAAGATTAGAACTTGACGTTGAAATAATGCAATTTCCACGCTTTAATTCCGCGTTTTCGCATTCGTTTCAGTAGGCGCTCGTAAGAGCGAAGAACAAAACATGAGATGAGGTAAACTCAAGATGAAACGCGCAGACAATTTAAGATGCTACGCGTAACGAGTAACATTTCCCATAAATTTGCCGCGAATTAGAGGCACCCACATAAGCTCGCGGAACAGCGGGAAGGGTAACAAATCCACGAGGTCAGACGCGGCGCAGAAAGGTGAGGGGGCGCGACGAGAAGGAGAGGGAGACGAGGGTACACAAGAGAGCCGGTGAGAAGAGAAGAAGGAGGGTTTCTCCCAGAATATGGGGGGCGAACGCGAAGTCGTCCGATTAGGAAGCGAGAGGGGTTACTTCGTTTCGTCGGCCGCCGGCGTGATTTCCCAACCGGCGGCGGCGGCGGCGGCGGCGGCGGCGACGACGGTGGCGGTGGCGGCGACGGCAGTTCCTTCGCTCGTTCGGCACACAGTCGAACTCCTTCGCCACTAGACGACGGACGTCGTCGTCGTCGTCGTCGCCGTCGTTGCCGCCGCCGTCGTCGTCGTCGCCGCCGCCGTCGCTGTACACGAAAGAGCACCTGGGGGACCATCTCTGACGCGATCATGTCGTACACCGTAATCGGCATCCTGATGCTCGCGTCGATCGCGCGCGGCTGCCCGTTCTGCGACAGGGAACAATTGGCACAGCTGCAGCAACCGCAGCAGCAACAGCAACAGTTGTATCGGACGATCGGCAGCCCGAGACCGTTCGGCGCTGACAAACCGAGCCGCGTCCAGGAGTTCAACCGCACCGGCGTGCTGCATCCCGAGTATCAGATACCGGCGACCATCCGGCCCGGCAACGTGTCTCAGTGAGTACATTATTGTTCCGCCGTTTGCGAGAATTCTCTCTCGACGTCTTATCTAAGCATTGTTGATAGAAGATTTAAGCGTTTAGACGATGTTGATGGAAAATTTACATTCGGCGGCAACGAAAGTCAGATACACCGCCTTACATTTGATTGGCGGCGGTGTCGATTCTCGGTTCGCTGCGTTTAATTATCCGAGAAGAATTGCTGGCACATTTTAGTCCGGATAATTATGATATTGTATTACTGCAATCAAATCTGCGCTTGATTGATTGTTAGTTTGAATGTGAATTTTTGTGAAAAATTTAATGAAGCTCTTTGATTTTTGAAAGAATAACTTTCATCATAAACAAATCTAGTTGAAAAATTTAAGTGAATACAATTTTAATTTAAGATTCACTTTGCGTCAAATACATTGTTGAAACTTTTATGAATTTTATTAACTTGTGATTTAAATTTATTTGATTTTAATATGATATATTTCTGCTAATTATTATTTTTCTACAACTATTTGCAATATAAATTAACTTAATAATATCGAAATTTCGCAAATTTTATATTTTATTTCTCTAATTGGAACGCATTCAAACCATCAATCAAAATGCATTGGAAATATTTCCTTTGCTTACGACAAAATCCGATGCAGTGATTGCTTTTCGCTTCCAATAAATTTCAAGCGGCAAAATTAGCACGCGCAATTATAGCCATGCGTGTACGCACGTATGCTTCTAGTCGGCGCGAAATATTTAAGTAACTATTTTTGAGTGCGTAAATTGTTTGCTCGATACGCACGTTGGGGGAACCGCGAACGTTTACAGCAACGTCACGCACCCCGTGCCGCGTTTCGTCAACCGCGGCGGATGCTAGTGTACGTAATCGGATGCACATTTTGCATACGCATGCGATTCGATACATACGACCCACATCGGAGCAGTGTATAAAGGACTGTAGCCGACACTTTCGTTCACGATGAATGCAATGAGATGTAAGGTTGCGCGTAGCGGCGTCATACGCGCGAAAACCAGACGAAGGCCGTTGCGCGTAATAAAAGTGTGCGCCATCGATGCTATTTCCACGAAATTCATCTAAAAAAAAGCTGAAAAAACTTTTTTATTTTCCAATTATTTCCATTATAAATCTTCTGAATAACAAACTCTTGAAATAATTAATTTAGTCAATGAATGAGAAAAATGTACAATATAACTCGTTCAATTCTCGCTTCATTTACTTTTACTAGTTTTTAATTCATTTTAGCGAATTTATTAATTGCCCAAAAAAGGATGAAAACAATTACGTATCTATTTTTACGCGTTTGAAATTTGCTGCAATCTAGATTCACTGCGTATCACTTATGTGACTCGATAGTTGCATCGAACTTTCCCGGTGATAAGGAAAAGCGGATGCTGCGCGCTGACGGCTGTTGCATATATGATGGAACCGGACGATAAAATTTGGTCGCTCTGTTATTGTCCTCGTGCTCCTTTGCGCCCTTACAATATGCACCCGGCGTCTAATGGTCCGATCCGTCGCGACGCTACGCGTCATAAAGTCCTTCTATCAGACGGTTTCCACGAAGCTTTGGCTGAAGTCAAAAGCACAGAATTACACTCTCCTCTTGGTTTACAAATTTTCGATTTTACGGTGAACAAATATTTATGCTCAATTCTTTACTTACGGAAAGAAATTTTTCGCAAACTAAAGACGGCAGCTAATGAACGCAGTGTTCTCGATGCCATGTGAATTATCGCACTGTCGAGGCTAAATTATCGAAAATTCTTGATGTCGAATCTTGATCAAATCGCGAGCTCAGAGATGACTTTAATTCGCAGAACATCGACATAACGTCAGTAAGCACACTGTAAAATTGTGCTCTTAACTATTGGAAAGAAGTTTAAAGCGAACATTTGCGCTGTTTTGAAAAATCGAAATAAGATTTTGTAAAATTTAAACTACGAATTTAAGTTACGATTGTGTATGAGTATTTTCACAGAATATTTTATTCCAGTATCAAAATAGAATTACGTCTGTCGAATTTCGAGCATGACAATCGATAGATTTCCTCGATCTTTATGCCTCAAATATCTTCACGCGTGCAAATACGCTACCGTAACACTTCCTATGTCGCTGATATCACGTGGCACGAATTCTATTGTTAAATGATGCCTTTTATGTGCTATTGGAAGCAGTAATTCCAAAATCACTTTCGTGATGCCGATGGTAATCATGATACAAACTTGCCAAAATGCTACAAATCAATATATTCGGAGACATTTTAAATTTAGAATTTATTAAATTTTAAATTCTAAACTTTTAATTCTAAATTCTTAAATTTCAAATTCTAAATTTTAAATTTAGAAAAAAAAATGTTTCGATTCTCATTTTTGTTCCTCGAGAACATTTCTATTTTAAATCGCTTATTTGTTACATTTTTTCAGATAGAGCTACATATTTTAATATAATGTTACGCAATATTCCCTTTCTCTCTGCAAAGTTCTAAATAGGAGCATCGAATGAAAACTTTATTCATAATACGGCCCGATAAAATCGGAGGATTTGAATAATTCCGAAGTACTTTTAACTTCGCCGTTCGCATCGACATTATACCATCATTCTCGTGACGCGCGTCCAGTCGCACCTTACGCGGGGTCGCTCCCCTCGTGGATCGCGCGTCAGGAGGAAGAGGACGAGCGACGCCACGCGCCGTAAAGCGCCCTACCTATCTCGGTCGCGATTTTCCACGAAACTTGCGGCAGACTCGCGACAAGAGAAAAAGAGACGGCGGGAGAGGGAGAAAACAGACCGTCTAACAGGATCAATTCGAGGCTCTCCCCGCCTCTGTCTCTCTTCCCGTCTCTCTTTCGCGTACGGGACAACTACGCGATACCGGATTTAGATCACGGGGGTCGTGGCTGCGCGACCCCAGACGCCGCGACGCCGGCATTGTGCCCCGACGCTAATTTTACAATAGCTGTCTCACCGCCAGACGCGAGCGCGAGGAGCACGTGTGGCGGCTGCGGAGGCTGCGGCGTCTCGACGTTCCTCGTGAACGACGACGACAACGACGACGACGGCGGCGACGCTCGGAAGCTAACGGGTTGAACCGCGTGCGTTGTCGACCTCGACGCAAAAAAGAGGAAAGAGTCCGACAACGACGCGAGAAGGAGTACGAAGGAGAGCGGAGGCGGTACAGGATGAGCAGCATCATCGAGGCGTAAAGAGTTGAGCGGTATAATTTTCGAGAAAAAAAGAGGGAGAGAGAGAGAGGGAAAGAGCGAAAGGGTGAAGAGGAGGGCGGAGGGAGGAAAAAAGGAATTGTATCAGTTCGATCAAACATTGTAACTAAGTATAACGGTACGGATTCAGTATACGTGTACGTACGGCTATACGTGTGTATGCGCGTTGCGTGACTTGAAGACTGCGCGACTACAGGATAATTATGTCGATTACGATATGCAACATCCGCCGCGCGGTGTTCTTCACCGGATTAACGTTGACCGCCGGATCGACGTCGATTATGATAACGAGAACACGCCGGGTTAACCCGATCAGTCGGCGGCAATTTTTGCGACAGCGCGCTTCACGACGCCGCGGAATGCGGCGTCGGAAGTGGAGCGAAATCCTATCGATCGTAAATGGCCGATGAAAATATTGCAAATAAAGTATATCTTCCGACTTGTGGACTGCAGCCGCGTCGCGCCACAACCGTCACGCCGATCGCACATTCGACGTTTGCGTACGCTCAACGTGCCGCGAACGCACACCAATATCAAACTGGATGCAGATGAAATTCTTACAGGTTCTATTACCTGAGTCCACGGGAAGGCCCGCCTCTCACGTTACTTGTTAGCCCGTGCAGCGGTCCGATATCTTGGACGGTCAGTTACGTGGAGCCGCCTGAAAACGATCAGGAAGCGGAAGGAATAAAATGTACGTGAAACTCTGGATACGATAACACTAGCAGTTTGTCAGCTATTTTATTTTCACAAATTAACATAAATTTTTTAATTTGTCATAATTAAATTATCTAGTTTCCCGAATGCTTTAATTCTTTACGGTACACTGAAATTATTAACAATGATATAATTTGAAAGTTAATATCTCGAAAGTACGCTTCTGAAAAGGCATAATGTACTTTACAAAGTGTTTGTAATGTCCCTTCGCGTGCGATAAAACGCGATCAATCGAGCACTCCCGTATAACTCCACCAACAAGTCGGTCGAACGATTCTGAATTAATTTACCCACGTAGCGCAAACGCGGTGGCCCGTGAAGACCCTGAAGCCGGGCTCACCTCTCTTCACGTACGAAGGCGCGGAGGACCAAAATTTCACGATACCAAAGACGCGGGCCGGTCTTTACTGGTTCGAGATCAAGTCCGTGGAGTCCGCGAACGGTTCAACGGAGCATCTGCCCGGCACGGTGCTTCTGTACGCGACGTCCAGCGCCCTGGATCACATACCGGGCATGTACGCGAACGAGAAGGAGCATCGGCATCGCACTCTGCGATTTCAGCAGCGACGGAGTAAACGGCGGCTGACGATATCCTGGAACAAAAGGTATCAATTGCATCCTCATCGCGTTTGCGAAAGTTCGAGATGAGTAACGGAAATGTGCGTTTTCTTAAGCTTGAATTTTTTTTTTGTTTATAGACATGAAATGATTTAAAATTCCAATACAGATTTCAGCATTTTACAAGACGTTCTGTATAACAAAACGCTTCATAATCATCGTTACAATCAATATTACCGCAATTTGTCGCCAACGCGAAATTTTCTAGATTTTCAAAAGTCGTGGAATCAAAATTGTAATTAATAAGAACGCAACTCAAAATATTCAAAATCTACTCTTAATACAATCGAATATATTCGCATAACTATTTCTGAATATTGAACGTCATATTAGCAATTTTTTTGCCATTGTTACTCAATTTTAGCTCGAAGCTCAATTTTACCCCGCGCGCCCATACCGTTCCAACTGCAATTTCGAAAGATGGAACGTTTGTTTTTTCAGCCACGTAGATCCTCATCTCTCGAACTACTGTTTAGCTGTCACTTCGGGCTCGCAGCCGCACCCATCGACGCTCTGCGCCGCTCGAAATGTTCTGAAAGCTCATTCGCACTCCGCGAGAACCGGCTCTTCCGCGAAGGAGCATCATCATCGAGGCATCCCGGAAGGGTTGCACTGCGTGCGCCAGACGAAGCTGACGCTTCACAGGATGAGATACGATACTACGTACAACTTTACACTATACGTGGTCGGTCTCTCGTCATATTAATCGAATCGATGGCTCGTAAAATCGCACAAATCTATAAAATTAATTTTGAAGTGAGAAAGAAAAATATTTTCTGTTTAGTCTTCGCTCCGTAAAGGTTTTACGCGAGAATCACATATGCTTTTTCGAATAACATTGATTCGCTCATCCTTCGCTTGGTTATCGTTGGGTTAATTATGAAAAATGGTGCACTAATTCGACAGGTAAACACCCGGAATAACGTTTCCAATCGGGTCACTACTGACGCCATCCGATTCAAGAAGACGCCGGAGTTGACGCTGCGCAACGGTCGTTACACCACAGCTAATCTACGGAAGACAGACGGTTTCGTCAATTTCCGTTATCGTCCGCCGGACAACATTTCGAGCATTTTTCACATACTTCCCTGCGGCGGAGGCATCGTGAAAGCGAAATTAAGCGGACAAGGAATATCGCGGGTAAACATCGAAAACATCGCAGAAAAGATTAACGTGTGATTAATATTACGTGGAAAAAAAATTTATCGCTAACAAATAAATAATACTGCAGCAGTCGATTATTCTGCAATAGCTAATCGAAATTCTCGTACGACGCACATTTAAATGTGTAAATGTGTTGTGTGTGCTCGGCAGGAAAAGGAGGTGGTCGGATATGCCTCATTGCGCGTACCTCCTCTACCACCCGGCAAGACTTACACGTTACGTATATCGACCACACCGCAGGAGCTGGTTCGAGTGTCCACCATAAAAGTGCTGGCTACGCAGGAATCGTCCACCATTTATCCGCAAGTACGTCAGATCGGACAAATTAATTTTTTATCGCGATCGCAGATCCCGCTTTATTCCTGTTCAATTTTTACGCTTCTTTAAATACAAGAATGATATATTTCTCAGATGGAGATAAGTCTGACTCTCCATCAACTTTTTTGCATCATTTTTTTTAATTCGACAAAGCACTTGTCAAGCTTCGAAGCTCGTCCTCTTGTCTTTTATTAGCAAATAAATCTCGATTGTTCAATCTTGTCCACTCGAGGCGAATTGGGCGCATTTCTTGATGCAGATACCATCTAGAAGCCCGCCGCGGGAGTACCGATCCTTAAGGAGATGTAACGAGGTGACGATAGGCGTGGAGTCGGCCGGCGCTGCGAAGTACTGCACTCTGGTGAAGGAGCTGCGGAGCTCGTCGTCCTTGGCCAGCGTGACGACCGTTCCGGATCAGTGCGGCCTCCATCGGCGCAGGCGGTCCGAGTACACGTTCGAAGAGTGCGAGGAGAAACTTAGCCCTCCGACAGACAGGGCGCTGACGTTCACCTTGAAGAGGCTGCAGCCCGGCAAGGCTTACCTCCTGCAGATCACGGCGCAGCTGAAGGGCCAGTCCTTGTCGTATCCGCTGTTGGGTGTGCGCACACGACGTTCCTGTTAACATAATCTACGTAATTCCCTAAGCGAACTGTATGGGCGATGCAACGATAATCTGCATGAGCATCGTTGATAATTTTTACTTGTTTTTATTAAAAATATATATATATATATATATAACGTGAGAAAAGACGCGCATATTTTAACGATTGAACACGCAAGTCGTGTTTCAAAATTTCTCTCGGACGAAAAGTACAAATGCGAGCGTATGGTATCGGATTTTTTTTTAAATCGCTTTTTTATTTATGTGACTTATTTCATTTTGCTATCAATCTGTTTGCCAATCAGTTTGTGAACGTCGAAGGCAGATCGATATTAATAATTAATATGCCTTGAGAGGTTGCTTCCAGGATTGAAGGATTACGTTTAGTCGCGTTTCGAGGCACAGTCATCTAGTCTAGATTTTACGACAACGTACAATCAGCATCCGCGGCAAACGCGGAATGACCATAAGCGTACATCAACGTGTATTTTGATATTTGTATAACATATATGTACATTTTTTTTTCTTTACATTTTAATATTGTAAGTCTTTTTATATGTACACTTCTTACCCTAAACAAGTACATTGAATATTTTCGCTACTTTTACAGTTACTCGTATTGGATATAAATTATATTTGAAGTCGAGAAAATGAAATAAATAAATTTTGATGTTAGTAATTATTCACGGAAGTATCGCTTAGAACATTTTTTCGTAAAAAAAATCAAGACTCCTCCCTCGTCTTTTATACTTCATGTTCGAATAATTCAAATACAGCTATTCTGTTTGAATTCATCCTCTATCGCTACAAGCTGTATAAGAAAGTTAAAATTTTATTTCGATGAGTCTGCGAAGTTTTTCACCGGGCGAATTCGGTGGCTCCGTCTTCAGCAACGTGGCTGCTCTCGAGAGAAGGGCTTGTTTGTCCTCGCCAGGACACGACGCGAGCTCTCGTAGAGTGACCGCCGTGTAAAGTGTCAAACGCGCACCGTACGGATCCAATCGGGTTACCGTGTCCATAATGCGTTTGCACAAATCTGACTTCCGTGGGTCGCTCGGCGGCAGTAATTGTATCAAAGAGTGGCTTACGGATATGCAGTGTTGATGGCCAGGATGCAGCAGCACCGTCAGTCTGAATAAATTGTACGTTAAATTTTCAAAGATAGTAATTTTTCAACTTTTTGGCGCTATAAAAATTTAATTAACTTAATTCATTAAAAATGAATACAAATAAAAATCGAACAGAAAATCATTACTTTACCGTGAGAGAAGATCAGATAGAGTATGCTCGGTCGCTTGCTTCATGACTTCCGTAACTTCCTCTTCCAGTCTATCCGTCAACTGCGCGATTTCCGAAGATGTGATTATTCCCGGACACACGTTGCAGGTCCAGTCGGTATTCGAGTTCAGAGGATCGTTCGGCAACATAAAACCATTTTTACAGGGACACTTTAGGGTGCCTAAGTGCGTGCCTAGCTCCGTCGGGTCAGCGCAACGTGTGCATCGACAGGTAAAATATTTTGTGGCTAAAAGATGCTCTCGCCTGACTCTGGTGGACCAAAGTGCGTGTGTGTACATAGTACTCAGGTGTTCTCCTCTGAAAATATCCATTACGCAGTAACAATAATAATAAATTCCTTATAAGAATATAAAGAGTTGACTAATTTTCAGAAATACGTACTTTTTAATCAATGTAATCGCGTACACCGTGATGCGTGGCCTGCCTTTATCATCGACGCGGAAACTGTGTCGCGTATTCGCCAAGCAGGAGTGCTCGAGAAGAGACGCGTTCTCGTAAATCGCCACCGAGCCTTCCGGTGGCGCGGTCTCCAGCGCGTTCACGTCGATCAGGCCGCAGATTTTCGGCAAAATATCTCTACAGTCGGACGTCATCGTCAAGAACGGCCCGAGATTCTGACATATGCTCGTCACCTCGTCGTGAGCCTCCGTGCCGGGTCCCCGCGCGTCCTCGTGACTCTGCAGATTGGCCAAGGACATCCAGCGTTTCGACTTCGTGCGCCACAGTATCAGCATGCGAATCACCAAAAGAACTTCGCATCTAATCGTAAATCGTGCAGTTAATGGCGAGACGAAGACAAGTCCGACTTGAAAAATAACCGCAGCGTCAAAATTGTTTAACATTTCGCAGCACAAGAGAGAGAGAGAGAGAGAGAGAGAGAGAGAGAGAGAGAGAGAGAGAGAGAGAGAGAGTCATGATTAAATAAAATTTAACCGTTAAACACTTGGCTAATTAAGCGCCGAAGTAAACGGAGCTTGAAATATTATCAACCCGTGCCGGGACACACGATACCTGGGAATAATTCTAGCGCACGCAAGAAGAGCGCACTCCAGCTCGTGCCTCTTCTTATCGAACAGCCCCTCGCAATCGGGCCTGCACACCGGCCAGCAACACCTTCCGCATCTCACATCGATCTCGCCGCATTGCCCGCCGCAGCCGACGCATAGTCGCTGATTCGCATGAATCGACGGTCCCCAGACCAAAGGTGTCTCCGAGAGAATCACGTCGCCCGGCGCCAGATCCCTGGTCGCCAGCAGGTGCCGTCCGAGATCGGGCGCGTGACCCACCTTCCAGGCGCTGCAGGCGGACCTGTGACGCGGCCAGTCCTCGGACTGGTGCGACTTGTCGCAATAAAATTCGCGCCTGCAGTTGCCGCACTTCAGCGTGGCGTTTCTACCGCAAACCGGACACACGCCGTGGCTCGCAGCGGTCTCCATGACCAATTAATTCCTGAAATTATCGGCGAGGTCGATTTAATCCTCAACCTGGACCGGCCAGATTCTTAATTTGAAGTCCGACCCTTAATTGAATTAATTTAAACCCAGAGAGGAGGAATTCGAACTGGGAAAGCATAAATCGAAAGTGCATGGCACGTTGCTTCGCGCTGTCGGATTTCTTTAAAGTTTTATGTAACATATACTTATAACACTTTCGCTTGAAAGACAAAAATAATGCTCAAGTAATATCAGACGATCGGAATTGTGTTATAATATTGTATTGTGACGAAATCAATTTTTTTTTCTCCGGAAAGTAGAACGCTTACCGCGGAACACGCCGCTTACACGTACACCGGCCGCTAACTTTACTATACTGAACCGGCATTTGCTAACGCGGTGACCATGTTTAATTATAGATCAGACGCACATCATGCTATTTTCGTACGGCAAAAGGAAGCGCCGAAGATTTATCTACCAACGTACATCATAGGTCAAATATAATATGCGCATTTAATACATTTACGTGCCCCGCGCGCCCATACTTTGAATCAAAATTTTCAAAAACTAGGTAAATTATAATAATCATTATTGCTATGAATAACCTCTAATTAATTTGTGATATTTTTAGGACCAATGCTTGCTATGTACTCGAGTATTTACATAGGAAAAAGGAAATAAAATCATTTTTCCTGTGAGTTTTCTCCGAATCGATTGGATCGAAAGGTTATCATCCGAAGAAATAATTAATCTCGAAGGAATTTGAAAATGAAAATAATGAATGCAATTTAGATAATATTTCGATTTATTATTAAACGTGCCTACATGATACAAATCAGGGGACAACACAATCTCATTATCACTTTATGACGTAGTAAATATGTTTTCTCCTTTGCGTGTGATGAGATTCTAATAATTATACACCTTATCTATAGGAGATGAGATTAATTTAACGATGTTCATCAGATTCAGTACACAGACTATCACAAAGTTGATTGCTGGTTCGGGTTCGTACATGGGTGTTTCTAAAATGATCACAGCCGCGAGCTGAACGACATAAAAGTAACGCGTCCAAGAACATCTCTTTTTTTTTTCGTACATTTTGCTATACACCTGATTCTTTACAATTCTTTAGCGACCTCGGGAATAATCGTCGTCAATAATCCGCGATACGCATGAAACGTGATTTGATGTTCGCCACGAATAATTTTCGCCCTCATCCCCTGATCTCACTCTGTTCTCGTTCACACATTTTTTGCTCGAGCATCGATTTTAATTTCACCACACGAAGATCGACACGTTGGAACTAGAAAGATCAATATTATCCTGCTCGATTGATGAAACTCGAGAAAGTGACACGCGTGTGGTATAAAAAAACAAACTTGTGAAATTCACAGAATGTCACCCTAAGCCTCTTTTAATCGAGGGTTTCTAGCGTATCATGTACAAAGTTGAATTTTTCACATCGTCGTTCTCCTCACCGAACAGAATCATATCGATCATTCTAATTCCATTGCGTCGGGATAAAAATATGGATACGCAGTTAACGCTTGTACACAATTTAGAATGCACCCGGTACGTAGCATCATTTATGAAGATCGAGTCGCTCAAAATGACCATGCAAATGACACCATTGTTTTTTTTTTCCTTTTCTTTACATCTTATTATACAAATACAACGAGACACCGTTAATATATATATATTTATATATATATATATATATTTTTTTTTCCTTATATTTTCTTCACATATTAAGAATATATTCCTAGGTACTCTGCGATGGCGTGCGACCGTCCGTAAAGCGATCCGCCGGTTCCCGCGGGGCGACGGCACGCGGACGCCGCGTGCTAAAACGAACGATAAATAATAAATCGAGCGAACGCGGAAATTCCACAGGTGAGGCGACATACTTTTCGAGGACTCACGCGCGCCGCTGACGCGCGAGACGACCTGCACGGATATTTACGCCTCGCACGTCATCGTCGTATCTCGATCTTGGTATATCACTCTCTAACTGCGCTATGTATATATATATAAATATATATATATATATGTATGTATATATATATATATTTATATAGAATGCGTTACAAATTCGTCGCACGCGCTTGTTTGCAGCCGCGCACGACGGAAACACCGAAGCACATGCAAAACAACTCAAAATTTAACACAACTGTGCGCGACTCCTCGCAGACTCCTCTCTCCTCTTTCTCTCTCTCTCTCTCACACACACGCATACATACACACACACACTCTCTCTCTCTCTCTCTCTCTCTCTCTCTCTCTCTCTCTCTCTCTCTCTCTTTCTCTCTCCCCCATAAATAGAATAAATTATTCCTCTTTATGTACAAATGGTACTTCCTTCAGGATGTTTGTGTTTACGTAGGCCCGCACTCTCACACCGCGCGTTTAGCGTTAAGCGTCAGTCGTATTAATAACACTCAGTCGTGCGGAGCTTTATTTCGCCGAGCTGAAATGTCGCTTCCACAATCCTAGCTACAAAATGCGGAGAAACTAACTGGTGATTTAGTGCCAATCGGAATTAGTGCGACGCGTATTAAATGTAGCCGTGTGGCTTTCAATCTTACTTATCGAGAGGAACCGCGAGATGAAAATCGGGGAAGCGTAGCGCTAAACGCGCGGCGGGTTTATTGCTCCTAAATATACATCTTGTCCGCTTCTAGTTTGTGCAGATCTTTTCACGGCGACCGTTTGACAGAACGGCGATGAGCTCGTGCTTTGCCTTTGTATCAAAATATATCAAAATCGCGAAGCCAGAACAACCAGCATCATCCCGAAATGCCGCTCGCGAGAGACTTCACTCTTCCTCGGGAAACATTACGCGATTTATCTCCGAGTGCATGACATTTTTTTTTTTTTTCTCTCTCTCGTACTTTCCAGCCGAGTGGAGAGTAACGTTGGTTGTTGCAGCCACGACGCACCGATATTATCCCACAATGAATATCCGCGGGATATACATTGGCATCTCTGTTTTTACGCGGAATATTTCAAAGACATGATCACCCAGCGGGATGTCCCGACGGGATCCCGCGGACTTCCTTTCGCCGTGGGATTACATCGATTTGCTGCACGCGTGGTGTAAAAGTAAATCGCGCGACCGATCAAACGTCCGTCAATATATTTAACGCCGCGATACATTCATCGCCGCTTTGGCCGAACACAAGAGCGCCGGACACGCGGTTTATTGCGCCGCAAAAAACGGGAACGTCTTAAACGCTTTAGCCTCGGTGATTATGCAATATGTAAAATAGAATTATTTGTTTGCTTATTCCGCGGAGAAACGCTTATACGTTACGTTATGACATGCGAAATGTACGGTCGTCGTCGGGGCGTCGCCATCCGTTTACGCGGGGTATCCCGTCGTTACGAGTCTCTCGTCGTATGGCACTGGGTAGCAGCGTTTTCCGTACTCGCCGAAGCACCTCGCCCTCGCGTAAATGCAACTCGTGCTTGGTACAAAAAATGAGGATTCTCTAGCCTTCGGTATCTTATGTGTGTTTGAAGAATGTGCGCGTGTGATCTCATGATGAGAGTTGTGCGCTTCGAGGATGTAAACTTTTTTTTTTTTTTTCTCTCTTTCTCAGTTTCCTGCTGCATGCACGCCGTCGTCAGTACCGTTTGGCGAACCTTGACGTTTTATTTCCCAATTACCCGAAGCGCACAACTCCGGTAGTCCGTGTCTTATATTTACGAAACTATTATCTTTTATAAACGAAGGCCACTCAATACAGAATCTACTGCAAATATTAAGAGTACTCGTAAAGAATAAATTCCTTGAACGTCCCGGCGAGTTAAATGACGTTCCCGGGCGAAGTCGTTAATTTTTTTTACTTTTTTTTTTAATTATTTTATTAACTCCGTTATTTTAATTAATCGACGCGGCGCCCGAGCGTCGTTTGAATCGCGAGCGATCGCGAGGGAATCGACTCTCGATCGTGAACGTTTACGTGAACTTTGAGCGCATCACTGTAAAGACTGATTATCTGGACGTATTTCCGTCAATACGCGCATTACGGATTGTTTAAACGGACATTTCCCAAAACTATGTTCTTCGTTTTAACCCTTAAAGCTAATTGCTAACACTTAGGCCTCGTTAAGACAATTCGGCCTGCTGTTTTGAGATCGACGAAATGGGGAAATGAGTGTCCCGCTTGCGTTCTGCCTCCGCGCGGGAGACAATCGCACGAAGAATGGAATCATGATTCGCGATTTATGAAAAGGTGGCTCGAATAATTCAAGGGGACTCGCACAACTCAATTTACGCGTAAAAATGTATCGGTGCGAAACCAATCTCCGCTAATCATACGACTCGATAACAACGAAATGAATTATAAATTCATGCACAATTCAAGTTACCAACACTTATTATAAGTTACATCGCCAACAATATAATTATCTCAAAATAAAACTTATATACTTATATCCCGCACATCATTTGCGTAAATAAGCGAATTTGTAGCAGATAGGAATTTTGTACTATTGATTGAAATAGCGTTCACATGCTCTCAGTCTGTTAAAACGAAAGATCTCTTAAATTTTTCGGGTCCAAGCATCGTTAGCTGATCGCAGCGTCGCGTATTGTCGCATCACCACATTCAATGTATAGATTCATCACTACATTCAATGTATGTAGAAAGCGCCGGACAATTTTTTTTTTTATTCTATACAATTGCCATTGCGAAACATGTCATGCGTGCCAATCGATCATTGCATCAATCAATCAATGTCCAAAAACATGCAATATGGCAGTTTGACATTCAAACCGAAACGGTGAACCCTTTTTCTCATGAGAATCAATATTAGAGCTGCGATAGTGGCTAGATGGACAAATGAAAAAAACACCTTAACACATGTTTTCTTTTCAAATAGCACATGAACACAGAATCAACGACGTCTAACCCGCTGACTGCCATGCTTGCGCATGTATTTTCCGACTGTATTTACCGAGGCAAAGAAATGTGTAATCACTGTGTGCAAGAAACACCATCATCCATTTTAATTCTATTATCAATCGATCAAGCAATTCTGTAACAGAAGCAAAAGTTATATATGTACATTGCATAGAATGGCAGTGAACGCGTTAAATATATATATATTTTAAAAACTTTCAAGAGAGATCTTTGGTTCTGTAGCCGTACGCTACATCCATTTTAGCACAAAACTCTCCATCCAGTTGCAAGATGGGAACAACAAAGTCTAGATAAGGTAAACATTCTACGCTACAGTCGATATATGGAGATCCTAAGATTCCACTTTTTTTTTTTTATTATCGTGCATAACGTTAAATGGAACTAAGAATTCAAGTTCCCTTAAATGCGGGTTTCAAATACGGCCTTACAGCAATAGGATCGGCTGTGAACATCGGTTAAAATCGGAAATGTCCCGATCTGCAATCGTACTACATTCTAAGCAATTCCAAAAACAATGTGTACGGTGTTCACACACATTCTTAATGTCTCCTAATGGTTTCATTTTATATTATATTATTGTGTAATCTTTTTAGGTTTTGTCATTTCTTACGATGCTTAAATGTTACGTTGAGAAAATAATTTTTTTTCGTTTATATAACAAGCAAAATGTGTTTAACTTGTTTCTTCATAAATATTCAATTTTCCATAAGTCTTCTTTACGGCTCAATGGTTCCAGCAGAAACACTTAATTTGCACGTGTGTTTTATTTTATCTTTTTTTTTCTCCTTTTTAAGTTCGTCCTTTCTCTCATCCGCGCGAGTGAAGCGCATAATTCACCGCCTACTTTAGACAGAAACTATTCTTTTTCTTAACCACTGGGTCCAGAACCATTGTACATTAATTGTTACTTATTGTATTACGTCCAATGCTGAGCATGTTGCAACGCTAAGAGCATCCGTGGAGTATCATCAGCTAGAAAGCACAAAGAGTATTCTAATGTCTTCAGAACGTCTTATAGTACCTTGAAATGTTTCTAGCTTTGGTTTTGTTTTCAGTCAATTGCTCGACGTCGTGTGTACGAGAATCGTTCCCGATCATAGTCGACAACACTTTCCTCGAGTAACGTTCAGCCTCTATTTGTTCTCGGTTGTTGCTCTCACGTTATCAAGCGAGGACTGTGCAAACCTTCCACCTGAGTGTCAATTTGAGGACAATGCTGTGTATCAGGCGGTCCCCAATCGTGCAAATTTCCACTGTTAGCTAATCTGTGCGTGAGTCGATGTGCTATTGAGAAACCTCCGCTACCTTCCAATTGCGTTAGAACTATGATGACTTGTCTACAACCAAGAAAAAAGTAGTCGTGTAAAATTTAAACGTACTAGAACATAACATTAAATTAATTTTTATGCCTTATAATGTTGTATCATAACATTTGTTAGGTTAGAACTTTAGAATGTTTTAGATTAGAAACTTTAGAACATTTTCTTTATCGTGATGTATTGAAATCTTGTATTTTGAATAAATGATCTAGAATTCTAAAATATAAGATTATAATGCATCATAGTAAAATTATAGACCTATCAAATGGCATGATATAAGATTCTAAGGTATAAAAATGAATAAAATGTGTATTTTAACAAATATCTTACCTGTGAAGGGGAGGAACACTATCGGCAGTTCTGAGTTGTCCTCTCGTGGACACGACATTATAGCTCTCATGGCAGTCGCATTTTACGTGAATCCACTTGTTCACATGACGATTTTCGACCATCACCACTAAACCGGCCCACCCTTTAGTTAAATAATAGGCAGTCATACCTTCTCTGCCCTGTAAAATGTTTGTGTATTAATATAAATTTAAGAAATAATTTACGCATCATTCACTATAACACAATTGTTTACTTCATGTCGTTGCCCTTTAGCCAATGTTAGACTTATAATAGCATCGGCTAAGACAAATGCAGGTGGCGATATCTGCTCGACCAGAAGCCTCTTTGAACTATGAATAGCGAGAACATATTCCGGATAGCTGGACGTGTCCTCCATCCCGGTGTGCCAGTGATTGAAGGCCAGGCACACGACGATGTACAGATCTCTCTCCAACATCTTGTGACAGCCGACGAAACCCCGCACTTGTCGTTTGCTGTGCTCCACTAGCCTACCGACTTCCGGAGCGGCCGGAGATCTCGTGCGAAAAACTACCACGCACAAGTCCAGTTGAGAACGTTGCGATTTTTCCGAGTTTCTATAAAATTATGTATTTGTTAGTATATTTTTTTATGACACGCCCGTGAAATAGTTTAATCGTCTCACCTTTGCCCCTCTTGAAACAGCGTGAATTCCGTTTCGGTAGGCTCCAATACTGTCAGAAGGACGCACGACAAATGTCTGAGAGACGACAATGGAGGGAGAGTACCGCGCAATCTCACTTCGCTCCATCCAACTCTCGTCTTACAGATGTCGATGCAATCGAAGTACTTTAAAACATCATCAAAAGATATCCAAAAGACACCGTCCGAAGCACCATGCGGCATAAGCATCTCACGTAATTGTGGAGTCCATATAGGACTGTCGTCCGACCAGTCGCCCTTCCAACTGTAGTGACCCCAAGGATTGCGTAATCGCAACAACCGTATTCCCTGCGTAATAATCACTTTTTTTTTATCTTGGCATGTATACGTTATTTCAGAGATTGTTATTACAGATAATGACAAGAATCCAATTGAATAAATTGATAAATTAAGTTGTGACACCCACCTGTACATCACGAACATCGAGGACAGAATATGCATGCCTGAAATAATTGACAAAAAATGAATTATAGCAATTAGTAAATGAGGTAAAATTGATATATACAATGGAAATAATGAAAATTTTAATTCACCTCGGCCTTAAACCTTTGCGTTGATACTCCTCCTCGTCGACTTTCATATTACCACCTCCGCAGCTAGCACCCATTAAAAACATAGCCTGCCTCGAGGACAAGAGTTGTGCCCATATTAGGTCCCTGTCGAGTTCGTCTTCGCTTGGCAATGCTGAAGGTTGTAAAGGCACGCTCTCGCACGGGGCGCCAGTTAATGTCGCTAGACCTTCTATGGCACGGCCGGATACTAAGGCCTCGTAGCAACCATGTATCTTAGCAACTGCTTTCTCGATTAGCGGCACCCAAAGCTGTTTTCTTTTTGCCTTTAACGTAAGATGTACACATCACTAACAGTATCATTGTAAAAAAAAATGAAAATTATTTCTCAATCTATAATTAATCTGTAATTAATACCATGTTTTTGTGTGATGTATATGAATATGTACCTGAGAGTACACTAAGTGACCTCTTTTATCACAGGGTAATAGATCATCAACGAGCACCGTCGTCCATTTTCCGTCTTTACACAGTCTAACCTGGTAAGCACCTTCGGGGCATGTCTCTTTCATGACCAGAACTCTCCTCACGAGCTCGTCGCTCTCGGCCAGAACGGCCAGAGCGGACAGTAACCAACAGTTTCCTAAGACACCTTGCGAGATATCAGAAGGTAGGGGTGTCCTAAAGACAGCCCAAGGCAGTTTAGAATCGACACTTGAGTCCACGTTAATTTGGTGTGGTCTTCTCCATTGGACGACGTGATTATCTTTTGTATCCGCGGGGTTATAGTACAGGGATTTCGGAGCAGGCGGAAACGAATCATCGACGAACGGTTCATTTGTCTGCAAGATACAAACGCGATGAGTATATAATTATAATCATATCGCTGTAAATTTATTAATTTAAAATCAGTTTATAATATACTCTAAATTTATTTCACCTCCTTGCAATATCGCACAATGCGCTCCCACTTTTCTAACGCCTCTCTCTCTTCCAGTTGCCTGAGATTTTCCATCACCACGCTCTCTTGCCGTTGTATTCGAAGAGTACTGGTGCCCGACTCGAGAAGCCTCGATATCCCTCTCTCCCCCGACATTTGGGACATTGACTTCGAGCTTTGGCACATTTCACAAAGAGCAGTTGTACTCTTGTTCTCGTAAGTGCACAGCTTACATTGCCACTGGAAATATAAAGAAATGACCGGCGTTACAAATATTTGACAAGGAATTAAGGAATAACAAATCAAATAAAACAAATTAAAAACTAACGCAAGAGTGAGTCAAGCATTGTTAAGCTTATATTCATTTTTGAACATTCTATGAAAAATACTCACCTGAGCGTGCGAAGAATCTCTAGTTCTCGAGTGCCTCTTATCGCCCACTGACGAACCGTTTCTTCTTACAGAATTTCTATGTCTCGGGGTGACCGCTTTGGAATTTGTCGGGGTTGAACAGAGTCTCGGGCTCGGACTCCGCTGGCCCAGAGCTCTGTTGTCCTTCGGGACCTCCAGGAAATCTGCCAACGTCTTGCAAGCGTTGCAGTTTTGCGCCGAAAGCGGATTCCTCAGCGTGCACGACGGGCACACCCAGCTCTCGCCCTTCCGCAAAGTGGCGTCCTCCAGATGCATGATGCTCTTCAGCTTCGAACCGCAGCAGGCCTCGCATGTCGTTCTCGACGCGGCGTTCAAAAGGGTGCACTTTTGCACGTCCACACCGGCGACGGCGGATCGATCTGATCGTCCAGATCGGACTCCGCCGTGGCCAGCGTGGCCGATTTCGGTGGTATGTATCTGACACTGTCTCTCGAAACCACGATCGGAGATTGTGCATGCGTCGGATAGCTACTCGGGTCCTTCGTGACGGTTATCAAGCTGGGTTGCGTCAACGACGGGGGCGATCTGGACGAGCCGCAGATGTCGCAACCGCCGGACCACAGCGGGTTGTACGCGTAAGAACACTTTCTGCAAGTCCACATACGCTTGAGCGGGCTCATGCTGGACACCCCCTGATCGAGGACCGGACTGGTCGCCTCGCTGTGCGCCTTCGTCGGCACCAGACCTAACTTACTGCTCTGTTTCTTTGGCAACGGCGGCGGTATGTCGGGATCCGTGATCCCTATGTAGGAATACTTTGGTCTCGTGTTGAAGCCAATGGAATGTGGCGGCACCGCGGGCGGTTCCTCGTCGTTCAAACTTCTACGGTTAACAGTTTTCTTCTGCGTAACGTTCGTGACCGAATCGGCGTCGGAAAAGGATCTTCTGTAAGATAGAGGCCCGGCGGACGATAGCGCGCGCGGCACCCAAGCCGGCACGCTGATAACCACTCCACTGCAGGGCGCAGGGCTTCTCGGAGCATCGCACGCTTCGCATTGCTCCAAATCAGGCGCATTGTCCAGCGTGCAATTGTCGCAGCTCCACAAGCCGTCATCCTGACGCGATTCTGGCACCACTAGACTCGTGGGTCTTTGAACTACGTGATCCGACAACTTTTGAACGACGGAACCGTTCGATAGGGAACGGCTGACTTTAGACTTAACTCGCTCGTACATCGAGGGACTGTGGCGCTTTGGAGAGCGTTGAGTATCGGTATTATCTGTGAACGGAAGCGTAGTGGACTCCATCGCTCCAATTGATGGCAAGATCCAGTCTTTGTGGCCCACTCTTCCTCTTTCGTTTCGACTTATGCTTGTCAACTGTGCCATGCCTGAAAATTGTTAAAATAATAACTCACAGTGCTCCGCAGATTATATTTTGTACTTTAAAGACTGACTGTGTTCTCACCTGTATCATTAATTTTATCATCATTACCGGAGCCACTCGTGCCAGCACCTCCATCTAGGACGTTGGCCAAAAGTCCAGAGGCGATTTTAAGACGATTTTCTTTGTGCAGATTAATCTTTTTACTCTTGCGTGCGCCAATCTGCCTCCCGTCGATTTGAGCTATCGAAGCACTGGCATCACAAGCTGCGCAAATCAATGAGCTGCAGTTATTGTCCAACAGACATCGAATACAAGTCCACTGTGTAACTAAAGAAGGTAAGGACGAAAAACGCTTCAGCGGTTTCTTTTCGGACGAGTTGCCACTCCACGAACCACGGTGTGAACTCTTCCTAACATCGGATGCAGACAGGTATCTTCCAAAACTACAAATTCACAGGAACACATATTACATAAGAATTGCTTCATAATTATACATTTAAACAAAATTATATATCATTTTCATCTTATCGATTGTAAAAATTAAATTATGAGAATGTCAGCTATAAGGTCAAATGTCGGAGTTTCTCACTGACAGGCAAAGCATAAACTCAAAAATTATATTACAAGAACACTGAGAAAGACTATAGTATATTAACATAAAAATAATAATTAATATTGCAGAAACCCAACACAACCATTACGAAAACATAATTCTAACAACATACAAAAAGTAGTACTGACTTAAATCGACTGATTAAAAGGAAAATGAATCAAGAATAAAAAAATCAAGACATTACATACCATAATCAAGAAGATACAGTAAAAACAATGTGTTAATTATAACAGAATTGCAAAAAACAGTTACAAGTATTATGTTAAGGAACAAAATTTAAAGTGGACATGGAATATAGGACTAAGAATATATATACATACTGAAGAGGGTCAAATCTGTTGATTGAAATGTTTGACCATACATACAAATAAAAATATATCAGTGTAAACATTCGACTCTACACTCTCACATAAATTTAATTTATCATCAATTAAAACAGAATTCTTATGATGCAAGAATAACAAAGTACTTTTAGAAACAATTCCAATATATTTGAAAATTAACAAAACAATCACCGTTTGTTAGCAAAAACAAAATATTATATCTTATTATCTTATAAATATGACATAATTAGAAAAAATATATAAGGCTTCACATATTCTATAAATAAAAGATATACAACGGTAGTTGTCAAGTATATAAAGATACAGTGTGAGGTGCATTCAAACAACTCTTATAAGCCTCTACGTAGAGTGACAAGATTATCTCATAATGTACACAAAACACACATGGAGTGCAGAACCAGGGAGAGGGGGAGGGAGGAAGGGGGGGAGGAGAAGAAGTGTTAAATGCGACTCTCACCTGCAAGCAACGGTGCGTCGGGATTCGCCGCGTTGAACGACGGGCAACGATGTTTCCGTTGGGTTACGCGCCAATCTGTCTGTCCTCGGCGGCGGTGTCGGCGGCGTTGACTCCCCGGAGGTGGATTCCTCGCGCGGACACTCACCGTCCTCGTGTCGCCACCTTGTCGTCAACCGTCGCTGGCTTCCCTCCGCGATCACGACCGCCGCTTCGCCTCCCTCCTGCCGCGCGCTGCCGCTACACTCCGCGTTGGTCGAGGCACGCACGGGCCTGCCGCGACTGGCCCTCTCGTCGCTCCTGAGCCGCGTCAACCCGCACCTGGCGCATCTCGCGTTCTCCGTCGGGTTTATCAGGGTGCACTCCGAGCAATGCCACTGCAGCACCGACGCGATCGAGCCCATTCTCCACGCGTAGTCATGGCTCCCCCGCTGCGCCGCGCTATATTCACCACTGGTCGCGACACGGACACGACGGCGTCAACGGCGCCGGCACACCGGACTGGCACCAGCACGTACGCGACAATAGCGGCGGCGGCGGCGACGTCGGTCCCCGACTTCGACCTCGGCTCGCGTTGACCCGTGAGAACTCCCACACGCCAAGTCTCTCCTTTCCTCCTGTCACCCCGTCACTGCTGCAACCGGGATAGGACGCCGCGACGCGACGCGACGACGCGGCCGCCGACGGGCGGCGATTAACGACGGCGATCAGCGGTGCCGCGGTACGCGTCCTCCACGTCGTCGTCGTCGCGAGGATGTCGCCGTCGTCGGTTGCGACAGGAGCCCGCCGTTCTTTGTCATATGTTCCGCGACGGCCATCTTTCCTGTCGGATCCCCTCTTCTACGAGCAACCCTCTTGCCACAAGCGACCTCGCAGGAACGGCGTGAGGTTGACACTACCCTGCGCCCATCGACCATTTTCTGAAATTAACATTATTCAATTTTAATATTTTTCAGTAGATTCTATACGAGACTCTATTAATGATTTTCTTTTTCATTTCCATTTATAAAGTTTTAGTGTTCTTTAAATCATTTCTTATTTAAATGTATAATGTTTTATAAAAATAGTTATTACTGGCATTTGATATAAGAAATTTGTCTACAATTAGCTTCTTTGATCCATCAATTTGCAATTTATTTTTTATTAATTATTTTTTTATAATCTTTAATTATATATTAACATTAATTATCAAGAAACTTTAAATAGATAGATAAAAAGAAATAAACAATTGTAATAATAGTAAGTTATAATAAGTAATCGTTATTTTAATAATATTTCCTTGGTTTATGCAAATAGTTCTGTCTGTAAATATTTTCGTGAATGATTATATATTCATTATGAATTTTCAGAGCATACATTACTGGATATTTTAATTACCACGCGGACTGGCGACATCTGTCAAAAGAAGTCTGAAAGATGCACATACAGAATTATAGCAAGCGAGCTGAGGATACCAACAAGTCCCTGTGGCGCAGAGGATAGCGCGTTGGACTTCTAATCCAAAGGTCGTGGGTTCGATCCCCACCAGGGATGGCACGAGCGGTAATTTAAACCGCTTTTTTTTTTTGCACGCGTATATTATTTGCACTGAAAAAGTATTAAAACAATTAATTGCAAAAACAACATTGAAATAATATAATAACTTTTGTAACTTTGATAAATTCCACAACTCGTTTAACATACATCGATTATGATCACTTATGAATTGTGGCTACTTATTTCAGTGTGCAAATTTTAAATTTCGTAAGTTTTATATACATGCCGGCGTATAAATAATTTTAAACACTATTATGCGGACAAAAAGTAAAACTAGAGATCAGCTTATCTATCAACTTATTATAAAACAAAAGGTATTTCCTTCCAATAAACTTTAATAAAAAATTAACTGACGTCATAAGTAACGCACTACGTCAGCAGCATTATTTTAGGAAGATTATGTGCAGTTTTACTTTGCGTAAATTTATTGAAAGAGCTGCGCATCTCGTGTGTGTAACACCTATAAATATGTTACATTCATAAAACTTTTGAATTAAAATCTACTCTGCATCAAACATGAATTAAGTTAGATACATTGATAGTCTTGCTTTCTGAGAATACCAAAATATCTCGATAATTTTAAGAAAAATGTATTTTAAGAAATAAATTGCTGAAAGAATTTGCAAATGAAGATGTTGACGAAAATCTTAGCATATGTCGCTTTTAATCATCCGTAAATACTCGGTAGATCATTAAGGGATGACACACGAAACTTTCCGCGTCTTCTGGACCTGCCAGATTTGTTTCTCCGGAGAGCTCACGTGCCATCCCCTTTTGGTCACCCAAGCAGCACCCTGTCGGTTTATTTACGGAAACGCCCCTTCTTTGCTTCTTACTTAGAAGCGTCTTACTTTGAATGCACGCCGACTCGTAACACTGTTTTAGTTTTGTTTGATTTCTTGAAGCGAAAATATAATTTTGGAGCCTGAGCATAAGAGACAGAGAGCAAGATAAATGGACTTTAACTGGAAAGAGATGTGCGCTACATCATATTTTTAGAATTGATATTTTTTATCTTGATAAATAAATTTGGAATAATATCTTTTATATCTTTGTCCTCTTTCTCTCTGCAGCTTGAATTGAAAATTATTCATATAGTTATATGAGAAATGATATATAAATAAAAATTTCCTTCAAAATTTATTATTTGAATAAAATATAATAATAGCGTCAAGCTAAATTAATTTACAATTGCTGAAAGTAAAATGTTACGTATTACTTTACAAAATCTTTTCTACATAATAAAAATGTGCAAATGCGCACCGAGCAACGTTATAATTGTACCTCAAACAACGTATTTGCGTCTCTATTTCAAGATTCACCGGAAATAGTGTTTTCATTATTGCAACAAACGAACTTTGCCAAGTCCTAAATTTTCCGTTCTATAATACCAATGTTCCCACTGTCGTTCACCAAGGAACGATGTGCAAACTTTCCGTTTTGCCATTATTCACCTACTATCAGCGTGACGGGCGCGTGACTGGCCAAGCGACGACAGCGTAGTCCTAATTTTTCATCTCGTCGTGAGATGATTTCTCGGACTTTCAAATTGCGACGAGGACACAATCGGCCTCGCCGCGTTCCCGCGCCCGTCACGCTCTTTGGAATGGAGCCAGTACAATTTACCACCAGACAGCTAGTCGCCGAGTACACGATTCCACTTCGTAATCATAGAACAGCTTCATAAATAAATGTATTGTTTCTCCTCTCTCATTTGCAACGGCGGACCGAAGCTCTTAATTAGTAGCGATTACTATACACGTGATAGCTTACGTTCTGAAACGTCCTTTCGCTGTTCTTCCATATCATTGTATAATTCATAATTTATTATCAGTTGCGAAGATACGTCTCTAGTTATACTAAAGCTCTAGTAAAAATTTGCATCTTTTCTTTGTCATAGTATGATATTAAATGCAAATTATTTATTTAAATATAAATTTTCTCGTACCTTTTATGCTGTATGATTATAATGTCGTCCTCATTTTATTCTTAACGCTTTAAATATACAAATAAAGCATTTTTTTATACGTTAAAATTTTATACGCTTAGAATCGCATTCTAATAAAATGTGTTGTTTCTAAATCTATTATACATTAACATTATTAACGGCGGCGATTGTAACAAAGCCCCCTGCTGCTTGGAAAATTCTTAAATCTGACAATTGACACCGCTTTGTCCATTTACCCTGAGTTATTTAACCGTTTAACATTGAGAGGGTCTCATAATCAGACTTATAAATGGAAAATTTTCCGTGAAGCGATATCATGAATAAATTGCTTGGCATCTGCATTACTTTTGTTTCGCGCATGGCAACTGCAGAGTGCGCACAATTAGTCTTCAACATAAATAACATTTTATATCTTCAATACATTTCTATATTTTTTATAATTGTTTGTATTATAAAATAGAGAAAACAGATATCAGTAAAATATACTCTTAAATGCTGGTTGTTTAATTTAAAATCGAATTTTAGAAATTTCTATATCGTACTTTATTCTAATCAAGTTTCCGACGAATTATTATGAAAGAAAGAAACTTCGATGAAAAAATTATATTCATCGCAAGAGGCTGCAACCCTGCTATATTACGTCATTTATTTTCTATAACGTTAACTGATGCATGTCTAATAACGGTTAACTCTATGACGTAGCTCCTTCACGCGTCGAAAGATTTTTCTTCGCTTCACTTTGAGGTAAACAGCTCGCTGCGAAGAAAATGCTTAATGTCGCGATTATTTATAAAAAACTTTCTTTTAAAATCGATAATGTAAATATACGAGAAAGCATCTCTTGTCATTCTTATATGTCAAGCTCATACTTCATTAACTTTTTCTGGTCAGTATATTTAGAGTATGAAAGAAATATATTGTATAATATATATATAATATACATAATAATTGATAACAGTAAAATATATATGTATAACTATAAATTTTCTAAGTAACTGATGGGAAAATAAAATAGGATTTTTGATATTTTATATTACATAGAGAATCTCAATTTTCCGAAAATTTTTGTAAAAAGTTATTGCTTGTGTAGGAAACATCAAAGAATATATGTTTTACCGTGCCTTTACGTCATCTTGTTTTTACGAGACGTTTTGATGCCGACATCTGCGGTCAATATTTACTGTTATCTTACTGCGTGCAACGCAAAAGCATCTTATCAACGCGACAACTTTCGACCTCCTAAGCAGACTGCAGAATGGATAAAAACACGGATTGTGTCGTTACGATAGGTTATCGGATTGGCCCCCGCAGTTTTCGCGAGCTATGATTATACGTAAATCAATATTACGTATCAACGGTCAATGGCATTGAATCCGGTTGGCGACTGCTATAAATTTATTTTCATTGTGACTATTTTTACGAATCGACGGTGCAGAGGAAGATTCCTTAAACACTTAATCATCGTATTATCTATATCCGGATTTGCAAAATAATGTTTTACGTATTTTTAACTTCAGAACTGATAATTTTTGACGTAATAATTCCTTTTTTGCATATGGTATGTAGAATATTCTAATAATAAGAACCACAGCTCCTTTTAAAGTCGAATACTTTGCGATAAGTAGACCGCGTTTTGTCGCGCAAATGTAATTATTTGCATAATGATAACGCGTTTTGCTCGCCGGTAAATTATGATGAATCAGTACGACACTCGCGACAAGGCGACCGCGCGCGCGCTACGTATATACATGTAAACTTTTATCAGTAAAACCGCGACAGAACGCATTTCCCCTTGCCAGCGGAAATTTTGTGTGGCTTGGGAAACCTCCACAGATAAATTTAATAAAAGAGATTTCCATCGTCTCGAAATATTCTATTGAAACATACTGTTCATTAATACAATATTTAAAGTTATAACTTTACATAAATGTATTTAATATATATAAAATTAAATAAAAACTATAATAATTTTGATAATATTAATATTTCTTACTAGCATATTATATTTGATTTATAATTGTGTTTATATAAGTAATGTTATGAAAATTTTCATTTATATAATGCAATGAGTGTATAAACAATAAGTTTGTCTAGCCATGCATTGATTCTCAATAAATATTTTTCCAATTCCCGGAAATAACTTTCTAAAATGCTCGAGTTTCAGTCTATTATATTGTAGACGCAATGTTCTACATTTATCGCGGCCAACTCTTCCGATTCTAATTGTAACAATTCCCATGGCATAATTGTCAAGATTTCGATGTGTTCTACATAGACGTATTTCTGCCACTAGCATATTATAACATTATAATGCAAATGTTCCATGTCAATAGGCACGTTTTGAACATGAATAATCTTCGTATGCAGCGCACAATTGTTGCTACTACGTGATAATTCTGTAATTCAGTTCGTGTACCTCTCGAGA